GCACACATGCTGAACTCAACCTCTGTCTAGATCTCTGCAGTCGAACTGGTACTCAACACATACATGCCCAGTTCACCTTTGCCCTTGCCCGGTTAGCTCTCTCTTCTCTGAACTCATGGGGTTGACCGAGAGCCATATTCATGCAGACACACAGGACCGGTCCCCCCGGTGGTCTAGTGGGTAGCCTCGCAGCCCGCTAAGGGCCAGGTCATGGGTTCGAGTCCCGGCAGAGTGAGTATTTTTCACACCAAATAAATCCTGGTCTAGGATGAAAGCGACGCGCTGCAAAGCTCGTTTGTTAGTAAACCATAATCGACTTCGTAAGTCGCGAGGGAAGGGATTGCTGTACCCTTCTCGCGATAAAAATACCTCAGGCATGAACCGCAGGAGGGGGTCCAACCCCCCCCTCCTATGTGACCCCGNTGGCTCGTCTAGCTGGTAGAAGTGGAGGATAGGGGCCAGAGGGGCTGACGACGAGTCCAATGATGGGAGAAAAACAAATAAAAAGAAAAACAACACGTCATCTCGGAGAATAGCTAATTCCGCCGCATCTTAACGCCAACACAGCATAAAACGGGGACAAGGTCTAAACAGCCCCTGAAACGAGCCTACTTCGTACCACAGCAGTACGGTGTACATTACGGTGTAGATACGGTGTACGGTGTTGGGAGAAGGACCCAGCCCAGCCAGAGGCCAGAGGCAGGCAGCAGGCAGCCGACTCGGCCACTCGCTCACTACTGTCCTGCTATCATTCTTTCCTGTGTAGTTGTCTCACCAGTCGACGGCCTGTCTAACCGCTCTGGTCTCTGGTCTACACGACATAGAAACGAAATGAGAACGGAGATACTACTGCGCAGCGAGACCACACGTACTGCAAGTGGAACGAGCAACACGCACCCCGAAGCAAAGACTCATCAAACGAGCGCCTCTCCTGCATGCCAGAATATCAACAATAGCCGCTCCGCAAAGTTGGATCAGCAAACAGCAGTAGCTCGGTCTTTTTCGCGGTGCGGTTTCTTTAGAAACCATCACACTGCTGTAGGCCCGAATCGTGCATGAACTCCGACATAAACCCCGTACGGTAGCACATCAGAATGCAGATTGATATCACATCCAAAAGCAAAGCAGAAAATAAATAAAAACGAAAACGAATCAGGACTCAAGCCTATTGCTATGTTTGTAGCCCCTCAGTTTTTGCTTCTTTCCTATGGAAGCGATGACATATTGATTGCCCTGTGGCGTCTTCCTCTGTTCATGCCACAGCCTAGATGCCAGCACGCGAGCCCGCCTAGCAGGGAGGGAAGGACTATTCTTTGGGAAGGAGCGCCGGCTATTGGGGCGTAGTAAAGAAGGCGATGGCGAAACAAGGTAGCATCGGTCTAAGGGCGGCAGTGAACGGATACCACACGGGCGTTGATGATCTTTCCTTCTTCGGAAAACTACCGATGCGTATCGTGACTCAAGCTCTACATATCTCCTTTGCTCTCCTCCACCGCATAACTAGTTGGATAAAATACGTGTGTTTCCCCCGAGTACTCCTTGGTTGAGACCTGAGACCTACAAGAAAAGAGCACCCCTCCGGAATGATTGCCGGGGTTGACATACATCCTAAGCGCCCCAACTGTTAAACGTCAGGCCATCCATGATGGCAGCGAAAGTGGGGCGTGCGTTGGGCTCTGCGGCCCAGCACGCAGTCGCCATGCTTATCATGTCGGCCGGGGCATCAGGGGGGAACATAGGGCGGAGTCCCTTGAGCACGACATGAATGTAAACGTCCTTTGGGTGAGCCAAGTTTGCCCACGGCAGCTCTCTCGAAAACACTTCCCAGGCCACGATACCGAAACTGTAGACGTCGCTGGCATGCGTGCTTACGGTAGCATCCAGCACCTAGATCGATGAGCAAGAGCAGTGGGGGGGGCAGGCCGTCAGCTGTTCGAAAAAGCGATTTTGGTTGCAACCACCGGAGCCCTACTGACTTGCACAGCGCAACAGGTAGCTATCCATGGCCATGAGTAATGATAGTAGCGTTGAAACGAGGAAATTTGTGGCTATCGTGGAGTTTGTTTCGTAATGTTCAGCCCGCTGTCTGTTTTTCGATCCATCCCCACCCCATGCGTGTGCACTGAATCACAGAGGATTTCAGCCTGTTTTTCGATCCATCCTCATTCCATGCGCGTGCACTGCATCACAGAGGTCTCCAACGCGGGCCATCATAGTTTTTCGGGACGGGTCATTTCGTTGAGTGGGATGGATTTATCGTGGTACGTGCGGAAGACAAGGAGTTTACTGCTGAAGATGCTCTTACAGAGAAAAACCAGATCTGATCATGCCAGCAGAGGGCGGGGCAATCTCTGGATAGTATCAAGAGCAGACCTTCGACTTCTGGCGGTGGTCTGCACGTAGTTTACATAGTCGCGGTTACCATCCTGGAACTTGTCGTCACTGCAGCGCGGTTCGCGTTCCGCGGCTGAAGATTAGATTCCCTCACTTCACTTCGCCCGGCGCTGAAGCAATCATTCACCATTTCCTCTGTCTTTCGTTTGGAATTGGACTTGACATGATCGCCGAGGCTCCATGCTGCACGTACCTCTGGCGCACTCCAGTTAAAGCTCATCTGGGTCTTCTGGCTGGACTTGGTGGTGTACGTGGCCAGACCCGTGGAGTTCGTGTGCTGAGACCAACGGGAAGTGCCAAAGTCCCCGATCTTTGGCATTCACACGCAACAGCAGTGTGTCAGAGAACATTGTGGATGGTAGCGACTAGACACAGCAGAACCCAGCCCACGACTCTCTCAGGCTCTGCCACAGATCCTTTGACGCTGCTTTTGCAAATCTGATACGCAGAATAACTTCGTGCTTAGGGCGTCTCAAAGCGTCAAGTACAACATAGGTTGACATAGCATTTTCTGCAGCTCTTTGCCCTCACCTTGGCCCTACCGACGCCGTCAAGCAGCACGTTGGCGGACTTGAGGTCGCCGTGGACGGTTTCCTTGCTGTGCAGAAACATCATGCCAGCACAGATGTCTCCGATGATCATTCGGGACTGTTCCTCGGGAAGTGGCTGCTCAGAGTTCTTCAGCAGCGTCTGGAGGTCGCCGCCAGGGAGTAGCTCCATTACCAGAACCAAGCGGTCTGGCAGCGATGTGATAGCCCCGAATAAAACGACCGTATGGGGGCTGCGGAGGCGAATCATTGCGTTCATCTCGCGCAGAAATCCCTTTCGCTGACTGTTCACTCGTTCAGCGTTGGAATGACCATCCTTTCGGCTCTCAAGGATAGCGGAGTCGTCACGTCTGCCAAGGTCGTGCTGAATATACAGCACCTGCGTTATTCGGCGATAAACACGCAGACACAATAAAGGAAACGAAAGATGACAATACTGTTGCACGGTACTCGCCAACAACACCGTATAGGCAAGTTGTGGTAGTTTCAAGACAAGCGATGACTGAGAAAGGATTTACCTCGAAATGGTTCCCCTCGAAATTGTATCGGGAACACAACAACGGGTCAAGTTCCAACACCGAACGGGCACCTCTTACCGAGACAGGACAACAGCCACGACCCTAACTCTTTGGTCATACTCGATGTGCGAGGGATGAGCCTATTGCGACACCAGAAACAAGAGCCGGGCCTTTGTTTCGATGCCGGACACAGGAGCAACAACCGCTAGCAAAATTGGACATCAACCCTTAGCAATTGCACTGCTCCCGGGACTTCTATGAATTCGAGAGTTGCGAGAGATATTTGTTGGTAACCTCACATGGCGTCGAACTACGCTCTGTGGCCCGGGTCGTGCATGTATGTTCGGAGAGAAAACTTCACACAATGCGCAACGTCAAGTACCTTGGCGGCGGCGTTCCGTCCGTTGAACTTTGCGAGGAACACCTTACCGAAGCCTCCCCTTCCCAGCAGCTCGTCGGAGATAACCACCCTGTCCTCCGGGATTTCGACTTGGTCGAGCTTCCGCTGCCGCCTTGCTCTACGAGCCTCCGCCAGGGATTCCAGTTTGGCCGCATCGATTGACCGCTGATGAACAGCAAGGAACGGAACATCATTCATGCGGCTGCGAAACGTCTGAAAAACGCAACGAGGGAGCATGTTGAAGCCAACCTGGCCTGGACGCCGAAACGTCGGCCTCCATGACATGCTTCTCCGAGCCAACGAAAAAGGCTCGAAAAACCAAACAGTTGGACGGGTACGAAGTCAAACCACCCCGCAGGGACTCCCCTCCATGAACGGATGTTCACAGCAGTGTATCATCGAAAATCATCCGGTCAAACTAAATTAGGAATGGGATGTGGGCAGGTTGCTCACGTACTCCGGCAGTAACATTTTTTGTCCAGAGTTGCGACTGAGAGGGGGGGCTTAGGACCCGCGGCTTTTCGCAACGCGCCGGCCAGCGGGGAGTCGTCCTCCTAGGGCCACCATGCCACCCCGTCCTGCCCCCTTGAAATGCCCCAAAGAATCCCAGCATACCTTTACTAGACCTTCCTCCCGGAGGCGACTCTCAGCAATTTCACGGAGCTCAAATGAATCTTTGCGATCAGGAGCTCCTGTGATGTCCGTGTTTGGCGCTTTGAACAGAGGTGCTCTCAATACTTCATTGCCTTCATGTGGGGCACTAGTGTCTCGCATGGTATCAGGGCACTCACGCTCCATGCTGTACACTTACCTTGTACACATGGATCCCGTCCTTTACGGCGTTCACGTCGTCGCGAACCTGCACCTGGAGGCCCAACTGCAGGATGACAAGCAGAGAAAGGAGCCATTCCCGTTCAACTGGCTAGCAGAGCGTACGGCGATTCGCAAGGAATACATACGATCGCCACGTCTTGTCTGCAGGAAATTGCGATCCAGATATTCCGCCAAACAACAGTATCGAAACAGCAGCTCGGGTGCAGCAGAGAACAGACAGGCGTATACACGCCAAAGCTGGCGAGATTCTTGTACTCGCCAGTTCAACAATTGTTGGGTTGTGGTTGGAGGTAGGCACGCAACTTAAGGCACAGCGGGTTTCCAGCCCTCAGGCTACACCACGGCGCTGGGTCTCGCTAGGCTCAACCCACTCCTAAACCCTAGCCCTAACCCACACCTCAAGCTAGGTTGTTGTGCAGTGGGTAGGCCGAGGTCGCTGTACCGAGCTACTGGAGGGTGCAAGAATCTCACCAGCTCTGGCGTATACACGCGTTGACGCAGAACATGCTGTGAAACAGCGCTCACCTGCAGGCGCGAAATAGCTCGGTCCACGACCACATCTAACTCGTCCTGTTGCCGCTTAAACTGCGTCGACACCAGCACCTTTGAAAGCTTGTTCTTGCTCTGGTACGTCTTGATCAGCTCGTTTAGGTCGAAGATTGCTTCGAGCACATCTTGGATGAAGACGCGCTCTGCTTTTCCCATCGTTTCGCGATCCTTGATCCATACAACGAGGGATTCGCAAGGTCACCGAAATGCAACCTCGGGACCACGTATCTAGAACACATGTGTTTTCCCGGAGCGTCGCAACAGACATCAAGAGATATCTACGCATCTGGCGCACTAGCAGAACACAGAGCGAGCCAAAACATGCCTTGCCAATAACCTCTGCCCCACATCACCCGAAGAGCAATTCTCGAAGAGGCTGTACGGAAAGTGAGGTGGAGAATTGGGTGTGCCTAAGAAGCTCTCCTTTGCCGTAAATCTCTGCCGTTTTCCCGGTGAGCACAACGGCCAAGATTGCTCTCGTCAAGGTGGAATGGTCGGGTGGATAGAATAAAAGACAAATCTCGCCGACTCTTCGACATTGGAGTGAGGAACGCCAGAGAACACCGAACACACCGTCACCTCACCTTTTCAGCCACCTTTGCCGCCCGTTCGAGCACCATAACGATCGAACGACATTGCTTGAGCTTCGCGTCGCCATCATCTTCGCCGCTATCCACGACCATATTCACCAGGATGGACATTGCTGTCGCCGCCTCGCTCACGCCGGGGATGGGGCAATTTTGCGCCAGCTCCAGCGCAACTTCCCTGGCCACTTTGCCGACCCCGAGCCCTTTGCCGGAACCTCGCCGGTTTTCTTTGGACGACGCCCCGCTCCCTCCGAACGCTTCTGGTGATATATCGTAAGCGGCTGATGCCGCACTCGACACGCGTTGCCCTCGGTGTAACCGATCAAGCTCGGCCCGCTCGATCGTCGAAACGTTGACAGTGGAACGTGTAGCGGTTGACGCTCCCTCTACTGAACGTTCTTTCGCAATCCCGCCTGGAAGCATGCCACCATCGTACGTGCTTGAAAGCGTGGTGCGCACGGGTCCGACGCGGATATCCTCCAAATTTCTTGTCACGGCAGGAGGGCTCCCCCGGGTCTTCGTTTTCGCGAGTCGTCGCCGCCGACAAAGCCACAATGCAATCGCGGCCACAACCGCTCCCCCAACGCCAGATCCAACACCGATGATCGTCGTTGTAGTGTCCGAAGTCGATTTCCCTCCGAACGGTGTGTTGGAAGGGCTGACCAAGGCATTGTCGGCTTGTGGTGTAGGTGAGGGAGCCGGAGAGGCGGCCATCGTCGGGGTGGCAAATGGTGCAGGTATGGGAGCCGGCGAGGCGAGCGTCGTCGGGGCTGGTGGAGCTTGTGGAGCGGCGATCAAGGCAAATGGTGCAGGTGTGGGCGCCGGAGAGGCGGCTGGTGTAGCCGCTGGGACGGGGCATCGCGGCGATTCGGAACTCAGAGTTGTGACACGAAGCAAGTAGAGCGTAGGGCGAGTAGGTCACCTTCCATTGGGCGAGAGAGATTCTGCAAAATTTCTTCTGCAACGAAAATGTAGGCAGCATATCATGCGTGCCATTGTTGGTCAATTGTTATGAATACACCTGGAGCCGTCGCCTCACCGCGGGGTCTTTGTTATCGGTACAAACATGCCTGTGCGCCTCGGGGGCGATACTGAAAAGAAAGCAACCGAAGGCGCTCCGGCGGAAGCTCCCTTCATTTTGGGGCCGTGTACATATTTTACCGTTCCAGAGCATTTGCAACACTGAATCGGGGCGTGCTTCAATGGACTTCTGGGACAAACGGTTGATAACCGCCTAAAAGAAAATCGCATGATTACGCTACTGCGCACCTCACGAGAATTTCAGGAAGAGATGAATCGATAATCCCCCACGAAAGTTATCACACCAAAATTTCGGCTCGCAGCTGCGTGCGCTCGCAACGGACCGGGCCGACCAAGTGTGCCAAAGCGACTTCTATTTAAGCCTCTACCGCGGGCGCGCTCAGACGCCCTCAGACTCTTCATTCGCGCATTATCACCAGTCAAGAGCACTAGAAGCTATATTATTTGGATCTTTGACAGTGAGGGACCACGTTACACGGAATAGCGTTTCGTTCAGCATCGGGAGCTGTGCTCCAGCTTATGCCATCCTGAGATGAAGGCGGATGCATGTCCTTTTGGTCGCCTACTTTCCTGTCATACGAGCCATTTCATCAACGTGCATCAATCGTGAAAATTTGTCTGTATGTCTACATACCAGCCTGTCTTAACTTATTTTCTGTGGAGTCGAGACACGTGGTATGCGGTTTAAGCCTAAGCCAACAACTCGACTATTTGTTCGGAGGACGGGGGGCGTGGAGGCCGCAGCGTCAGGAGCCCTTGAATGACTGATCCTTTGGATGTGCTCAGAAATGCAAATCTTGTCTTACCAGCAGCGCAGGTGTATCCAACAGGTCCCGGAGTGCACGTCACGTCTTCACCGCACACGTTTTCGGTGACATCCGGAACAGAGCACCCTACACGTTGGACAGGCAAGATCGCACAAGGGATAACTATTTCATTTTCCTTACTTGTGCCACGCGCTTCCTGGGAAGAAAGATGATGCCCATGCGTGCGCCTATCGCAGGGTAATGTACCCTCATATATTTTCGTGCCTGAGGTGCCGAACGAATACTAGTATTTTCAGGGAAGGTTCACTCACGAATACAAAGATCAGTCGAGAAATACAAAACTGCTACGGAGCCCTACTCGTACTGCATCTACTCAAATACTTGACTGGTGGGTAAATTTTCTCGTACAGAAACGACCGTGGGTAATTCAGTTTCCGACCCAGCGAGGGTCTTGGGACCGGGAACGCCAGGCAGTCTTGAATGGAAACGTGCATGAATTTCACAACATTTCAGGAATGATGTGGCGCAACACCGTAGTTGTTTCTCTGTTCATCTCATCGAGCAAGGTCGACGCAAAGTGTTGCCGCTGGTAGTCTTGAATGGAAACGTGCATGAATTTCACAACATTTCAGGAATGATGTGGCGCAACACCGTAGTTGTTTCTCTGTTCATCTCATCGAGCAAGGTCGACGCAAAGTGTTGCCGCTGGTAAACTTGGAGCAGATCTGAAACTTGGAGCAGATCTGAATCGTAAGCACGACAATGAATGGAGAAAACCAAAGGAGAAAATAGACAAAGGTTCAACCGGATGCCTCATATGCGCAATGCACCACCGTATGCCACGACAACGTTTACGGTAACGGCCACTCGGCGGGAGGGCAGGGATGCGCCCCATAGTCTAGAAGACAGACCGCACCTTGGAGGTAGAGGAAGTGGTTAGGTAAGCTCGAAGAGGATTGGCGTGGTACAGAGCGAAGTGGCATCCGCGGAAGGGAGTAAGTACCCCAAGGGGAGCGCCGCCTGCGGCGAAGAACTTGGGGCTAGCAGCCGCGGATGCCAACACGAATTGAGAGCTTGGGTTTGGTTTGATTTTGTAGCTGACCAGCCATTTTGAAAGTCGGACATTTCACCCTGCTCCTTATTTTTTATCCCTTGTCTCGTTGTTTTGTTATCCCCTCCCATCATATCCTCGTGGGGCCCTTCGGTTTGTTTTACTCCCTCTACGGTTTCACATGGCGCGGCCAAGATCTTGTGTTGAGCGTACCATCTTCCTTGGTGCCGCTCCCCTCGAGGTTGCTCAAACCTCAGGCCCCACAACCCATACTCGATGTGGGCGTGGAGCCTCCATCACTAGACTACGTTAACGGGGTGGGGTTGAGCTCACTCCAACTGTAGTTTGTTCGTTCTTCGCCTGCGCGTTCTAAGAGTATTGTTGACGTTTTACTTCCTGATTCGTCCGAGTGGCATGCACCTGGTACAAGTATGTTATTGTTGTATCGCATGTACGACAACGAACTGTGCGTATAAGCAAGCGCTGTAATGTGTAACATGCTCCTTGAGATGTTTCAACTGTGCCCTCTGCCTTGTGACTACGGGAGCTGGATTCTGAACAAGAGCAACTGAAACGCCAGAAGCCAAGATCGACAATGCCACCAACTCGAGGTTCGCTTCTTACAGATTCACTCACCACATTCGGTGCCGAAAGGACCACCGAAAACGATAGCGCTGCCAAAATGCAAACATGGGGAGGGATGAAAACAGCGAGTTTAAACATCGAAAAAGTGCACAACTCCATCAGCACCAAGCGCGTACAAGAACCCTGCCACGACACGGATGCGGAGTCCGAACCCGCTCGCCTGCCGGCCGGTGCGAGAACCTCCTCAGTATTGACAGGATCTCGTGTATTCATGGATTGCAACGCACGCATAGACATACTGCGACCGACCATCCTGGATATCCCGCGTGGCAACAAATCACAAGACAAGCAGCGCATGCCACTAGCGTGGTCCACGCCATTGTTAGGTCGATATCCGAAGTGTACGATGAACGACGGACCTTCACTATTGTAGCTCAGTGACTGGAACATGCTTGCGACTTGCGACACGTTTAGAGATTCAAGAAAGGCTGTTCGTCAAGCTGGCCTTCACTCTTTCAACTCAACGACCATAACATACCCAAAATGCCATCCTCACCTTTGATTGCCTATAGTTGGTAGGCATTCCAGGGGGGTATCTTCAAGGTTCCTTGAAGCCCACCCCGAAACATTCCGCCGGCGAAGAAAAGGAAAACGGTAATCGAAACATTAACGAAACGTGGCGGTACGTGGACGAGGTGGTGGTGTGCTTGTCGCTGCCGTTGCAGTTTTGTCGGGCAAGACAAGCCCGGGTAACAGCCCCACTGCAGCAGCCATATCAAGAGGGTGCCGATAAATGAAGGAAACGGAGACGGAGATTGCCCTGAAAGCCCACGAGCTTCGTCTTTCGCATATTCAGGGTGTCCTTGTCTACTACGTGATGGAAATACAGTAGTCTACTAAGAGTCATTTGTGAACTCACAAATGTAGTATAAGACGTTGCGAAATGTTTTTCGACTCCCTTGGACCGACCCTCCATCAGACTTTTTACGACAACAGTGCTGAAAAGCTTCCGTGGATCATACCTTTCAGACGAGGTGAGGCGAGTGGAATCGATCGTCGTCGAACAAGAGTTACATCAAGTGTTGCTCACACGAACAAGTGTAGCCAACCCCGGAAGCCTACAAGAACTTCATTCGAGTAGAGAGTTGAAGGCAAAGGTCGCCACTCACCCTACCTCGGAACGTCATGCTACCTGTAGGGCCCCTAGTTGACACAGTCCGTGGCTGAGGAACACGCCAAACTGTGTGATCAAGGGGCGACTTCAGGTTGTTTCGCTGACGTTGCTTGTATTCGCCTGTTGTACCCCAAAACAAGGTTCTCACCAGACACCAGATCGCAGGCTGGCAATGCGGACCGGTAGCATCCAAATCATATGGACCCAAGCAAAGCAAGGAAAGGCCACACCGTTCTACGCTAGCAAAACTATCTACTCCCAATCCGTTGAAATATTACACGTATTGTTCTCTTGGAAAGTTCGAGAATCCTATCCACACAAACGTCAGCATACATTCCAAGGAAACGCCCTGCGAACCGCCAAGATTTCAACGAAGAAGAATTGTTGTGAATGTATGGTTTCTAGAAAACCAGGCCGGGCCATGCTCTTCGAATTGCGTTTGATTTTGATGTCGAAATCTTCATACTCTTTTGTTGGCAACTATACATCTACAAGGTGCCGTGTACTGCTGCGTAATCGACGTGAGAATACTCAATCAATACGTCTCAGGAAAGACCACACCAAGAGCTATCAGAATTCCGTTCTCGAACGGGTATGAAGTGGACACCAGCCCAGCGAAACCCCAGCAGGATCCTTCTTAAGCGCATGGATGTAACACTCCACTCAAAGACGTGTCGTAGAGCCATACACTTACAGCTCTTCAAGAACCGTGAGATCCTCGAACATCCCTACCGGCAGGGTGGTCAGATTGGTGTTTCCCAGGTTCCTTTTGACAAGCGGAGCAAAGGCGACAGAGCAGCAACTGTTGTCACTCTAGACTTGGTCGACAAGAAGGCAAACCCGCCTATGAAAAATCGGCACTATTTCGGGCAATTCGTGGAGATACAGAGTTCGAAGGTTGCATGACCGACTGCGCAGTTGCTGTCCTTGAGCACTGATGGAAAAGAGACATGAGGCATATCAAATAAATGAGGGTGACACGACAAGACACCCACTAGTCCCCGGCATATTTAAAGCTATCCCATCCCCCCCCCCCCCCCCCC